GCTGTTTCAGATTCCTATTGAGTGTAATCAGCCAGGGGACACTGGAATTTATTATAAGTGTAATTAGGGTTTAGTGTGATGTAAATGACAGATTTAGTTGGTCAGATTTCTTCAAGACGTGGTTGTTTGTTTGATTTGACTTATGCCTTTGATTTGTGCTTTGTTGCAGAGCTCACACAAAGGACCTCCCTCCTCTGGAGACTGATTCTCTTACAGGAATCTGAGGACTGACTCCACAATCTAAAATGCATGAGACTCCTCCTCCTCCTCTTCTGCTGTGAACTGTTACTTTCACTTTTATTATTCAGTCAGCAGCAACAACTGCAGCTGGTGAGTAAACTATATATAAAGTGGATTGATCTGCTATTGATTGTTGTATAGAAAGGAAAAGTGACTGGCAAATGTAACAGAGAAGAACTTTCATTTAACTCACATGAAATGTCGTATTCAAGCATCTGTTCAGACTTGCCAGTTGATATGAATCCCTCTTAACAAAGTCTTGTAGAGAGAAATAAATTAGACTGTAAACGTGTGTTGACGGCAGGTTTTTGTGTTTGTACATGAGACACTGAAGCTGCTTTGAGATTTCTTACAGTTTATTTAGCTGCAAAATATGTTGACAGAGAAAATGTCTGAGGTGAAGGAGAAAACCAAAAATATGGAAAAGGCTTTTTTTTCCAATTATCTTCGTTTTGTCGCTGTAAGACGAGTCAGATTTAAATATAACGAACTTCAAAGGCTCTGGCTCAGCTAATGAATCTTACACTGTACAACTTCCCCACAGCACGAAACATACGGAGTGATCAATGTTTCCACTCTCCTCACTGAGGTTGAAAACGAGTCTTGACAACATGTATCCAGCTTTAGAAAAAATGATTTAAAGTTAATAAGAAATACATATAAAGGCTTATAGAATTCATATATGTACAGTATGTTGTTTAAGTTGCTTCTCTGACTCGGACAGAGATTTCTGAGACAAAATATCCTCAACAAAGAACTTTCATTAATCTTACATGAACTGTCGTTCAGCTTTTTTTAGACTTTGAAAGTTAATATGAATCACTTTCAACAAAGTCTTGTAGAAAGACAAATAAGTACGGAAGAGGATTAAGGGCCTTTTTTAAAATTCTGTCTTTAATCTCAGAATTCTGACTTTAAAAATAGAAATATTCACATGTGGCTCTAATCCTCTTCTGTAAGTAAGACTGTAAATGTGTCTTAACATCATGTTTCTGAGTTTGTACGAGACACTGCTGCTTTTAGACATAATGAAACATACAGAGTGTGATCAATGTTTCCACTCTCCTCCGTGTGGTTGAAAACGTGTCTTGACAACATGTATCTAGCTAAAAAACAAAATGTTCTTGTGGTTTCCTCTTAACTTTTCACTTTTGTTATTTCCATTGCTGCATGCTCTAAAGACAAACAAGTAACAGTCCTCAGAGCTGAATGAACATTATAGTTAATGTGACTTTGATGAGAGTTGTGACATTAACTGTCGTCACATAAACTGTTGTCCAGTTTTATTACGTTTACAGCAATAAATGTCTTTGTCTCTTGAACAGGCACAGAAAATATTGTTCATAGTGAAACCTGTGAGGGGAAGTTTGACAGCGCTGTAACCACCTAAGATCAGAACTTCAGATACAGAGGACGTGACCTTTCTGTTGTAAATGTTTTGCATACCGACTTTGGGCGGTTGAACAAACATGTCTCTAAAACATGGAACTGACTCAGTTCCTTTTTCTCAGTCTCACTTCAGCTGAAAGCAGAACTAATGTTATATTAAGAGAAATACTCACATGTTCTCATCCTACACATTACACAATTAAATTAGCTATTATTATTGTAATTTCTTATAAAATTAAAAAATGCCTTCTAGTTAATTTTCCTTTCAAACGTGCTACATCAGATTTCACCTAAAAATCAAGATAATATTTTTTACAGAGTGAAGATGTTAGAGGGAGCCTGCAGATAATGTTGACAATATCATTTAACAATAAAGCCTAAATAATATTAACTTAACCTAAATATATTTTGTGTTTAGACAATACTGTTTCAGAAACTATAGCAATCAATAAAATTATTTAAACAGAGAAAATGTAAAATTAATTTCACGTTTCAGAACAAGAATAATAAAAACTAGAGACATGGAAATAAACAGGGAAGACTGTGTTAGTTTGGTAATACAGACTAACTGTAATTTAACCTCAGAAGTCACAGTCGATCAATGACACCGATCTGAATAACTGATATCTGATGATTGATCAACATCATGCGCAGTGTCTGTTCAGGTCTGATCACAGTTTGATGTTCACCCACAAAATCCTGACAGATACTGAAATTCACTCGAATGCACCATTAACTCAGACAGAAAGGAGAAACGGTACATATATATACACTACATGTATATAACTGACAGTTAGATACAAGTAGATAATAGTTATAACATGAACTTATTTTACGTTTGTTCTTTCTTTAGTTTTTGTCTTAAAGCAGCAGCTGGTCTCTGGATGAACCATCTCTGATTGACATCATGGATACTGCAGCACCTGGTGAGTCCACTCAGACTTCATTAGTCTAACACAGGTGAGATGATGAAGTCTAATCCAGGAAGTTTGGAGAACAGATCCATGAGTTTGAAGGTTTATCAGAGGCCTGAATGCTGCACAGTGGTTTTAAATACTATGAGACTGTAGGGTTTTTGAATGGTAGTAAATCTGTCTGTGAATGTTCTCATTCGTCCAGGTCATAGTAATCTCTCTCTTAAATTAAATCGAAGGCAACTGGACTTGTATTTGTCTGTGGAAGACGTTTCGCCTCTTATCCAAGCGGCTTCATCAGTTCATCATGTATTGGTCTCTCTAGTCCGCACTAGTCAGACTAACAAACTAAAAAAAATACTAAACCAAAACCCTCTACCTCCTCCCCTCTCTCCTCTCTAACCATTTGGTCCAGCCTAATCAATATGACTGGCTTCAGCTGTAGCTGCAGTCTCATGTGCACTCCACGAACAAACGCCCCCGGAAGTAAACCTCGGAGCGAGTGGTTAGCCACGATCCTAAATAAAGGCACAACATGTCAAAAAAAAAACAAACTTCCTGTATAAGCTTGGTCCACTTTACAAAGTCAGTGTGTGTGTGTGTTTCACCTTAGTGAGGGGGATGCCTCCCAGCTCCCTCACAGAAACGTGCAGTCTGTGTATTTTATTCTCTTGTGTGTGTGGCTCCAGGGTATTTTACATATTACCATACACAAGTGTAATACATGTACATATACTGAGTTTCCATATGTGGAATATATGTACATACGTATAGAATTTTTATATATATGTTTTCTAATAAACTTTTACATCATTAGCAAATATGGTTGAAACATGTTGAACCATGTTAAAATTCATCATATAGATGTTTTTAATATATATACAACTTTTACTCTGAGTATTTCATGTATGTTATGAACTTATATCTTCATATATCCAGAGGATGTTTATATGTGATAATGAAATGTCCTCTTATAGGTGATGAATATGGCAACATCACTCTTTATATAGGGACATATACTGTATGTCATATATTACATTTCTGTATGGGCTGTTAGTTTCATCTTTTGAATTCAAATCAAGTTGGTTTTACAAATTTCACATAATTAATTAACTAATTAACACATGAGCTGTTCTTCTGGATGAAGTGAGTGAGAGTTGAAATATTTGTTGACTTGATACAAACCCTTGAATAAATCTGTTAGTGGACCAGTAGAGGGCGGTGTGCGTCAACAGGTTGTTCTGTTACTGTGGGAGTAGTTGTTGTTTTTACAAAGACAGCGCCTGCTGTGTCACAGACAGACTTTCTGACATGTCAGTGTTTCCTGAACATAAATTCAGGTGTGCCTGCAGGGTAACATGGGTACATATTCAATAATTACAGGATATAGGGGACCAACAGGCTTATCTAACAGTATTAAAATAGGTAAGTCATAAAAAATCTATATATACACTCAGTTACCAGTTTATTTGGTACACCTCGCTGCAACTAATGCCCTCTAATTCAAAATGTACTTGTGTTATTTCGCCTACACTCAATGGCATAAACAGAGTAGAGAAAATAATAGAAACACTTGTCAGTATATCTTAATATAATATAGTTGAAATGATATCTTCCTAAATGATCATACATTTGAATCAGCACCTGTCTGATATAGTTTCAACAAGATCTGAACAAGTTACAAGAATTGAGTATTTACTGCAGCACTGTTGGATTAAACAGCATTTGTTTTAGCTAGATGTTCCTAATAAACTGACACGTGAATGTCTTTTTATGTCCTAATGTGTAAGACAGTTAAGCATTATTAATAAAGATCTGCACCACCTGCAAGAGTGTTTATTATGCACATTCAAAAAATTCATGTTATCACATATTACTATGCATGTTCAGTACCATATTCTTCAGCTGAGTAGAGTATTCTAGTATTATAACCAGTTTCACAGATAACACCAATGTGAGGAACTCCTGAATTCAACAGACACATACTCTGTGAAAGAGGGAGAGTTGGGGAACTTGAGGAGGAAGCCTGACTCATTTTCCCTGGACAGATCATTGAGGTAGTTAAAAGGTAAAGAGTGGAAAGTTGGAGAAAAGCTCTGGATGTTGTTGGGCTGTCTTGATTGACACGCCTCTTCAGTGTCATGTGGAGGCCGTAGAAGGCCTGATGAAGGTGGTGGTGGCCTCATTTTCCTGTGCCTTCAGTAAAAAGACAAGAGCATATGCCAGGGCTCTGTAAAGAAGGCTTCAGACATGTTTTGATCAAACTACCTGCAGTTTCCTAGTATCTGAACTCAGGTTCACTCACCTGTTGACACTAACTCCAACTTGTGACATTTCTTCTCTGTTTTCTTTCAGTGTCTGAACTCAGGATTGTTCTGGTGGGAAAAAGTGACGACAAAAAGTCAAAGCTGTGTGACTTTATCCTAAAGAATCTGAGTTCTCTCCAAAAACAACATGAGGTCATCAGTGGAGAGTGGAGAGGAAAACCATTAACAGTGGTGAAAGCTCCAGACATGTTCAGTCTGTCTGTGGAAGCAGTGAGAGAAGAGGTGAAGAAGTGTGAGACTCTTTGTTCTCCTGGACCAAATGTTCTGCTGCTGTTAGTGAAACCTTCTGATTTCACTGAGGAGAACAGACGAACACTGAAGTTCATCCTGAGTCTGTTTGGTCCAGATGCTTTTAAACACTCGATGGTCGTCATGACAGAGAAGAGAGGAACACAACACACTGTCAATCAGCTGCTTCAAGACTGTGGAGGAAGACTCTACAACATGTTTGAAGATAAACACCAACTGTTGATGGAGAAGATTGAGAACATTGTGCGTGAAAACAAAGAAACCTTCCTCACCTTCTCTGAAGAGCCTGAACACATGAAACCAGCTTTAAACCTGGTTCTGTGTGGGAGGAGAGGAGCAGGGAAGACTTCAGCAGCCGAGGCCATTTTAGGTCAGACAGAGCTTCATTCAGTCTCCAGCTCATCAGAGTGTGTTAAACATCAGGGAGAGGTGAGAGGACATCAGGTTTCCCTGGTGGATCTTCCTGCCTTGTATGGAACACCTCAGGAGGAAGTGATGAAGGAATCACTCAGGTGTATCTCCCTCTGTGATCCTGAGGGCGTCCATGCCTTCATCCTGGTCCTACCTGTGGGTCCCCTCACTGATGAAGACAAGGGAGAGTTAGAGACCATCCAGAACTCATTCAGCTCTCCAGTCAATGACTTCACCATGATTCTGTTCACTGTGGAGTCAGATCCTGCAGCTCCAGCTGTTGTTGACTTTATAAGAAAGAGCAGAGACATCCAGGAGCTGCTTCAGAGCTGTGGAGGAAGATCTGTTGTTGTCAACATCAAGGACAAGCAGCAGATCTCTGAGGTGTTGGATAGTTTAGAAAAAAAGAGACTTGACAAAGAAAAACCATCCAGCTACACAACTGAGACATTTGCACTTGCACAAATAGGGAAGATCATAAAACAAGAGAAACACATCATCACACTGCAGACTGAACTTGAGAACTGGAGACCAAAAGGCAAAATCAGTTGTAAGTATTATAAAATTTTGATTTTGAATAAATGTATATAAATATGTGCGTGTGTGTTTGAGTGTGTATATATGTATATATCAGTGCAGTTGATGTAATAAGTTTTTTCTCAGGTCATTGAATCTATGGGGCCCATAGTGTCTGTGTTTTTAGCGAAACAGGATGGAGGACCTGAGTGCAGAACAAGATCAGCAGATGACAGCTCTTAGATTTATTCAAACAATGAAACACAAAGGTTGACTGGATGGTGAGGCTGTCAAAGGTTAGAACTGAAGAACAGAACAAAGCCGTACAAATCAGGTAATCCAATCCAGTCAAGGGCAGCAAGGAATATTTAGTCCATTAAATACACACAAGGGATAAAAACACTGATTATTATTAAATACACACAAGGGGAGGAGGTAATGAGACACATGTGCAACACAAAGAAAATTATTTCAAAATAAAACAGGAAATAACAAAGTCACACAGGAACAGATCATCTGAAGCACTGGGTAGGAATATCAGGCACAGCTTCAGAATGGTTCTCTTCATGACTGTTGTTATGGCTGTTTCAAACACTGAACATAATAATGGACACAACACCAGGATGAAGTTTACGACTTTAAAGTTTATTGGAAATAGATGGTGAGACTGAAAAGAAAACAGAGACCTTGCACCACAAAGGTGCTGCTGCATCAGGAGGGAGAGAGAGAGAGAGCTGAAACAAAGGGCCGGCCTAAACAGACTCAGCCCACTAGTCAGCACAGGTGTGTGTTAATCAGGTGATCCACCTACAGGATCAACAGGAAACACCAAAATAAAACAGACTCCAACACTATGTAACACTGTCAATCAGGAAGTTCTGTCTCTCCATTAATGGCCAAATTATCTTTTTCTCTTGCTGTATAAAACTTTCCAAACCCACCGTATCGTGCAGTCTATGTAGAGTTCAAACTGTCAGCACATAAAGTAACTGCGGGTCTTCACATTTCACAGGTGATGATAAGAACCAGAGTCCAGAGTGTCTCAGGATCGTGCTGATAGGAAAGACTGGTAATGGAAAGAGCGCTACAGGAAACACCATTCTGGGAAGAAAAGAGTTTAAAGCTGAATCATGTCAAACATCAGTCACCAAATATTGTCAGAAAGCACAGAGTGAAGTGGACGGTCGTCCTGTTGTTGTGGTCGACACTCCTGGTCTGTTTGACAATAGTTTGTCTCATGAACAGGTTAATGAGGAGATGGTGAAGTGCATCAGTCTTCTGGCTCCAGGACCACATGTCTTCCTGTTGGTGTTACAGATCGGACGACTCACACCAGAGGAGAAGGAGACACTGAAACTCATCAAGGAAGTCTTTGGGAAGAATTCTGGAGAGTTCACCATCATTCTGTTCACAAGAGGAGATACACTGGAACAAGAGGAGCTGTCGATTGAAGAATACATCAACAACTGCGATGATTCCTTTAAGAAGCTGATCTCTGACTGTGGAGGAAGATGCCATGTGTTTAACAACTATGATAAACACAATCATACACAAGTCAGAGAGCTGATAAACAAGATCGACACCATGCTGAAGGAAGAAGAGATGAAGAAGGAAAAGGGGAAACTAGAAAGAAAACATGAGGAAGAAAAGAAAACCATGAAAAGAAGAATGGAAGAAGAGAGAGCAGAAACTGAACAAGAGAGAAAACTGAGAGAAAAACAACTCAAGGAAATGGAGGAGAAGATAAAGAAGGAGCGTGAGCAGACACAGAAAGAACAGGAGAAGAGAGAAGAAGAAGACAGGAAGAAGAAACAACAGGAAGAAACTCAACGACAGGAGTGGGAACAAAAAATTAAAGACCTGAAGAGCAAAATAAAATCAGAATCAGAATCAAAGGAAATCTTTGACAGAAAGCTGAAGGAGACTAAAGAGGTGATGAAAACACAACAGGAGGACTGGGAGAAGGAACAAAATGAGTGCTGGGAAAAACAAGAAGAAGAATATGAGCGAAAGAGAGTGAAATCTGAAAACAAAAGAGAAGAAGAGGACAGAATGAGAAGAGAGCAGGAAGAGAAACTTAAAGAGATAGACAGAAAATATAAAACAGAAATAGAGAAAATGAAGAAGAAGTATGAGGAGGAGGCCAGAAAACAAGCTGAAGAATTCAATGACTTCAGAGAGAAAACGGAGGAGGACTTTGCAGCTCTGATAGACAAACACATGAAGGAAGTGATGGATCTGAAGCAACAACATGAGAAACACATGCAGGAGAAACAGGAGGAATATAAAAACTTAATGGATCTCTCAGAACACAAAGAAAAGACTCTGAAACAAGTCATGGACAAACTGCAGGACAAACACAAACAAGAGATGACCGACTTAATTCTGCTTCTTCTGACCCGAAAGAAAGAAAACAGGAGAAAAATAAGTTCAATGCAGAAAACACACAGAAAAGAGATGGAGAACCTTATGAAAGAGCTTTCAATCGAAAACAGGAGACAAGAGAAGGAACAACTGGACGAATTCAAGAAAAGACACAAAGAAGAAATGAAATCCTTGGACAGAGAACTTCAGAGCCAAAGTAAAGAAGAGAAGAAGACAAGAAGGCACAAGCTGTCCATCGAACATGACCAAGAAATCAGTGAGTGGAGACTGATATTTATGAACCAACAGCATCAAAAGCAGAAGGAAGAAGTGGACGAACTACAGAAAGAACATGAGCAGAAACTGAATAAATTCAAACAGAAACTTGTGGAAGAAAATAAAAGAAATGAGAAAGAAAAAATGGACGAGCTGCAGAAGAAACACGAAGAAGAGATAAAAGAGTTGAAACGACAAATCACAACCGCAGATGAAGACGGTGACGGTGAAGAGCTGGAGGACCTGCAGAAGAAACATGAAAGAGAAATGAATGAACTGAAAGAGAAACTTCTGGCCCCAGAGAAGCAGGGATCCTGCTGCATTGCATGAGCATGAGCCACTGCATTTTTATTTTTACTCTCTCCAAGCATTGAGAGTTAAACTTATACAGTTATCATCATTCAGGTGTTGCTGCAGTCTGCTGTAGGATAGTAGAAAAGACAGCGTTTAGTTTAATGGTTCACATACACACTTACTTGCATATTTACAAAGAGCAGAAGTTTGGACGTTGCTGAGGGTCCGAGCTGCTGCGTCCAGATCTGGAGGAATCACATCACGTTACATCAGATGAGCAAAAACAGAATAATTTTACAGAGAATCAGTTGCCACTTTGTTGAGAGCAGAGACACAGTCTAGTAGAAGAGCATCCAGGTCATTATAGACGACAAGCCCCCACCACAGGTTTGTGACCTCCCCTCCAGATGTGGTGACAACTTCTACGCACGCTTTGAAAGGTTAAATAATGTTCAGCTGATGAACCTTCCTTCCTCCAGATGACCAGGTTCTGTATGTGACTGCAGACAGTGTGAGGAAGACCCTGTAAAGGGTTAACCCTCAGAAAGCAGCTGTCTGGATGATAACAGCTCCGGAGAATCATCATGAAGTGCTTTGAGAGACTGGTCTTGCAGAACATTAAGTCCAGCAGTCCCATCACACTTGACCCCCTACAGTTTCCTTACCTCCCCAACCACTCGACTGAAGACGCCTCCGACATCTGTCCTTCACTCAGCCCCGTCTCACCTGGAGAATAAGGACACTTGTGTCAGGACGCTATTCATTGACTTGACAGGCTTCAAACAAGTCAACGAGCAAACACCTGATTGTGAAACCATCAAGCTTGGCCCAAACATCTCCCTCTGGGTCCTGGGTTCCCTCACTGGGAGGCTGCAGTCAGTCCAGATCAGCAGCTGCACCTCCGTCACCACCAACAGTGGCAGGCCTCATCAGCCACGATGATGAAACAGCTGACAGAGAGGAGGTGGACCAAGAAGCTTTCCCTAAATAAAGGGGAAACAAAGGAGGCTCATGGACTTCAGAAAGACACTGGTTGACCACGCACAGAGGGTCAGCAGCGGTGGAGAAACCTCTGCATACACCTGTGTACTCAGGGCTGTAGTTCAGTACAATATGTAGGTATTACTTAAGTTTTACCAGTTTGTCTGTGTCGTACAAAAACATCCTAGTTTTTTTACTTCATTGCATTTATCAGAGAACTATAATTATACTCAGGTTAAAGAGCACAGGAGTTCAGAGGAGGGGAGGTTATATACAGGTGGGTGTGTTCTGTTCACATCCTTTGTTTCAGACCATGTTGCCACATCAGTAAGGTTTTTTAATGCAGATTTGTTTAAGGTGAGATATTGTTTATATCCTTTGAGTTATGTGTGAATGCTATACATCCTAATGTAATTTGTGTATCTGACTTCCTGACGGATGTTTTGGAGCTGTTTGATATACCTACCTCTGAGTAAGGCAGAGTTGTACAGATCATGCACCGTGTTGGAACCACTTAGTATAGTTACCTTACCCTATACTTACCTTACACTCACCTGTTCAACTCCTCTTAACCCCTCGAGAGTCAGACATCATTTGGACACAGAGAATGTAAGGGGAGTAATCAAATAAACTAAAATCTAAAGCATTAAAACAGGAACTCTGTCTGAGGTTCCACTACTGTAGAAGAAGGGAGACTCTCCTCTGGTACTTTGCCTTTGTTGAAGGTGTCGGGGCTCAGCTCTCTGTTTGCTTTGTCTTTGAGTTTCATGCTCGGGCTAGAGGGAGGTTACCTGTGGTGTAGGGAGGGATTTGACAGAGTCCCATTTTTTTTATTCTTTTACTTTTTTGCTGCTATGTTTTGTAATAATACAATTTCCTCATTGTTAAGATTTGAATAAAAATAGGTTGTACACTGTACAATTGAATTTTGAATTCCTGGTCTGGGTCTCCTCTCTGAAAGAGATAAGATACTCCTTGAGGACGTTGTAGTGTGATTGCAGCAATGCAGACTATGCATTCATCATTTTCTGAGCTCTGTTGTAGTTTTGGATTGAATTGAACTGAGCTGTTTTGAAGTTTTTGTGCTTTTAGATGTAAATTCATGATAATAATTCAGACATTTTACATTTTCACATTTAAGAAAGTGTGTGCAAATATGATTAAATACAAAAGTAAAACCTTTTAAAATGTTCCAGTGAAATAAGAAAATGTTTCATGCAGCAAAGTGTTTGAATCCAGTTTTTCCAGGTTCAGTGTGAACAAGAGACACAGCTAAAATTAAAATGTGCTGTGAACTGACAATGTAAGTGCTGGATTTTAATGAAACCACAGAGCAGAGGTGATGAGGCAGGTTTTGCAGTAAGGTCTTATAAATAACGTACAATGCTCTCTTCTGTTTATGCTTCATGTGTAAAGCCTTTTATTTTAAAACTAATGTAATGATTAGAATTGTTGAGTGATTATTGTAACATTGTCACATGAACAGAAATATCTCAGTGACATCATGATGATGTCATGTTTCCTCTAAAGCGCAAAATGTGATCTTAAATTTTAATGTTTGATTGTTGTGAGGGAAGGTGCGGGCTTTGGTTCACTGTGCTCCAGCTGTGATGAAAAGATAAACTGACTAATGCTTTCTAAACCTTAAGAGGTAAAATCTCTGATGCTCTCTCATCTTTTCAAGGGTCATCCTCCCTCTCTCTCTCTCTCTCTCCCTCTCTCCTCCGCCCTGTTCCCGACACGCTGGGATGTCTCGATGCTCCAGAAAGAGGAGGAGAGAGAGAAAACCGTTTGAGTCACTATCTGAGGGGACGATACTCTCACCAACCCGTGGATGGATGGACAGATGGAGAGATACTTTCAGAGAGAGAGAGAGAGAGTGAGTTGGTGTCCGTTACGCACACCACACACAGGTCATCGCCTTGCGTCCTGGCGCATCCAGAACCAAGAGTTTTCCAGAGGGCAGCAGAGGAGTAAATGACTGTTTGTGTAACTTTCTTCTAAATGTTGTGTCGGGACTGTTTTCTGTCTGTGGCTCTGCGGGTCTGTGGCTCCTCTCCGGCCGCTCGGTACTAAATGCTGCGGCGCTGCTGCCTGGTCCTCACCGTGGTTTTGGAGCAGGTGTTTGTCTCACGGTGCATCAGTGCCCCTGCTCAGACCAGGTATTAACATCCGTCTCGGGTGATCCGATCACCAGTGGACAGCTCTAAGTTCAGGTGTGAGGGAACCCATGACTCAATGTGGATGCATTTGAGATCTGACCCCTCAGACAGCATCCAGAGGTGGTCAGGATCACGTGTCCACATTCTTTGAGCAGAGTGAACACAAATGCATTTGAAGGACCGACACAGTTTATAATGAACCCAAATGTATGAAACTTTATTTCATTGTAAGACCTGTGAGCAGTGCATTAATTCATTCAACCCATCCAACTTTATCTGCATCACTGGACCGCTCCTGACAAGAAACCATGTTCAACGGCAAAGAAAAGAGCAAAACACGAGTAAATCTGTCTGGAGACAGCTCGTGAGAGTAAAGAGATGCAGTTTGATGCCGAGATCGCAACTAATTGTTATACAGATGAATAACATATAATGTTGGTCTTTTACGAAAAGTGAGGCTATACTGCCACTTATGGCTAGTACCTTTGTTAGCACTTATCATTACATCCCCTTTCCAAACAGGTGGGTATAACATTAACCACGACTCTTTAAAGTACGGTCATTCTGAAAATCTCAACAGTCTTGACTAACATTCAAAATGTCACAAATAGTGCAACAAAATATAATTATTTAGCCTTAGCTTTGTCTCTGTAAGCAAAGTGTATTAATAAAGTGTAAACAAGATAGTCTTTTAATACATTCTCTATTTTTTTTTCTTTTCTTTAACTTCACAATAACATAAATCTCCCTGACCAAACCAAATGAGTCTCAACTATTAATCAAGTGACACATTATAGCTTATCACATCTAACAAAACTGAAAGTCAATAACAATTATGACACATCACATTGTGTTCAAGTGTTACAAAGCCTTTATTTATTTATTTTTTTCAAACAGTTAGTTGTAACAGTTTATCCTTGTTCTATGAGTCTCTCAGGA